AAAAAAAAAAAGGCTGCAGTTGGCTTCTGTAACATGTTGCCTTCCTTAGAGGCCAATGAGGTGTTTCTATTCTATTCCATTAGTCGCTGTGAGTTGAATTTGATTCAATTTCAATGGGTTTGGGTTTGGGGGGGTTATCTTTATGGGGGCAGGTCTCCAAATCCTCTCTCTGATTGACTGGTACTTTCTAAAGCCACCAATTTTTGCTAATACCCAGTGCTTAACCCTTGTAGCTTTCAGAACTAGTTATGGCTAAGAAACTATTAATTGAGGTAGTGCATCATTGACTTTAATGATAAATCAATTGTCCTAAAGTGATAGGAATATGAAAGAAAATACGGTGCATTTGTAAGGTCAACTTGGAAAGTGGATTTAATTTTGGCTTTGCTAATCTAAGTTACTATTCCTGTGGTAATCCCTCCAGAAATATCCTGGGCTCATTATAAAAAGTCTAGGTTTATTTTAATATCATTTCTCTTAAATATATACTGTAAATATATATTATTTAGCTTCACCATTGTGGCAGGGTATTTTTTGCAAGCAGCTAATCTCTCATTTATATTATAAAACATTACATGGCGAATTTAAGACACAGATCAGTGCATTTTGATGAAGCTAATGTCTAAGCTCAAGAAATGTATAATCTGTTGTGTGATGAGATGGAAAACAATTAAATGGACAAGTGGTACAAACCAAAAATTAAACCTATTGCCATTGAATCCACCCTAGAAACACTATGACCTGTATAGAGGCACTACAGGACAGAGTGGAATTGTCTTACAAATTTTCCAATGCTGTATTATTGACAATATATTTTTGTATAATTCATTTGTTTAAATATATTAAATACAGTTGTGCACTAATCACCACAATCAATTTTAAAACATTTTCTGCATTCTTGTATCCATTGTTATTAGCTCCCCATTGCCCCACAACTTCCCCTGTTTCACCCTCAAAGATATATTCATCTAGTTACTGTCTGTATAGGTTTACATATCCTGGATTTTATATAAAGAAATTTGTGCTATAAAACCCTCCATCAGCAATAACAATATAAAATACAGATAAACTTCAATACAAAAGAAAACAAAGAGCAATAAACAGCAGAACCAGTTAAAGATGGGACAAGAGAGAAAACAAATGTAAGATGTTCAATTTTAAGCAAGAAACTTTCCAAAGCACTTAGTCTGAGGACAAAACTATTCATGTATCTGGTTGGTGATCCAGGGGAGTTCAGATGAGATTTTGCCCACTTGAGGACTCTGCAAATGGATTTTGGGATTTCACTATCATCCATGGCTTCCTGCAAATGGGGGGCTCAGAATTTAAGCTGTAATACAATTTCCTCCTCTGGTCTTGGATTTTATTAATTAAAACCCTTGTATTACATGGGCCGGTGTGCTTCTGTGTGAACTTAGCTGACAACTCCCTGAGATGACTGCTTGCTTAAAGATAAGCCTTTAAGGCCCCAATTCTATTCTTTCTGAGAATCAAGCACCATCTGTTTTCTGCACACTTTAGTATTATAGGATTATAGTACCTATAATCTTTAGTGATCACTTCATGGGTATGGTCAAATCATAAGAATCTATTGCTCTTAAATTAGGGTTTATGAGGAGGTGTGACCTCAAAGTCCACTCATATATCAAAGTTGTTTGTTTTATATATACATCCCTAGTCTACTTTAGAGGCAACATTGCCAACTTCTTGAGATATAATATAGGTAACCTGCAGGGAACCCTTGATATTGAAATTCATAATAATAGTATCATTAATATAGACAGTGGTATATACACACACACACGCGCGCACACACACACACACATATCTATGAAAGCTTGTTATTCTTGTTATTCTCAATTTAACCTTTTTGGGCCCTTTGTTGAACATAAGTTGTCAGTAGGTGAATTTATGAATAAATGAATATATTTCTGGGTTTCTATTTTGTTCCATGGATTTATGTATGTATCCTTTTGCAAGTACCAGGCTGTTTTGACTACTGTGTTTGTGTAATGTTTTACACTGGGTAGTGTGAGATTTCATACTTTGCTCTGCTTCTTAAGTTTCTTGTTTATCCTTGGTCACCTCATTCACCATATGAAGTTAGTCATTGTCTTCCTATTTCTCTAAAGAAAGAAGTTGGGATTTAGATTGGAATTACATTGCATTTATAAATTGCTTTGGATAGCATTGATATTTTCACCATATTGAGTTTTCTTATCCATGAATATAAAATATACCTCCATTTGTGTAGCTCTCTTTTGATTTCTTGTAATAATGTTCTGTTCTTTTCTTTACATGTGTCCTTTGCTTCTCTAGTTAAATTTATTCCTAGATATTTCACTTTGTGAGTGGCTATTTTAATGTCATTTTTTCTTGATTTCTTTTTCAAACTTCTCTTAATTATTATACAGGGGTCCTCTTAATTTTTGCATGTTAATCTTGTTATCCTGCTACATTGCCAGATCTTTTGATTATTGCCCCTAATCTTTTTTGTCAAGTCTTTGAGGTTTTCTACATATAAAATCATACCATCTGTGACTAATGAGAATTTTACTTCATCTTTGTCCAATCGAACCTTTGATTTCTTTTTGTTGTCTAACAGTCTGACTAAGTGTCCCTAGAGAGTGTTGATAAAAGTGGTGTTATGGGGCATCCTTGTCTAGTTCCTGTTCGCAGGGGGAAATGGTTTCAGTTTTGCTCAGTGAGTAAAATATTGGGTGTCGACGTTTATATACGGCTTTTATTGTGTTGAGAAAT